TTCGGTTTGATTAGTAACCCATCACTGAATTTACCATACAGTATAATATTTCTGTTTTCGTCATTCATCAATATTTTAGAAACACAGTTTTTGCACTGCGTCAATTGGACTAATGATATCGACAAAAGAAATTATATATGTATAAATCTAGGACGTTACCGGAAACGTTCTAAGCAACAAAAAAAATGATAATAAAAAAAAAGAAAAAAATGGCAATTTACCGCACAGCCAAGATATCCTACAAATGCAAGCTTCGTAGCACATATTGGACTAGTAAATGAGAATATATATATACATATATAATATTTTTTGTTCCTAAAAGAACCAAAGAAAATGGTGGGTCCAATCCAATTGAATATATTCTAGATTTATAAATCAATTATTTAGTTTTTTGGACAAATAAACCAAAATTTAGTAATCTCTACTTTTGTTGTGTAAAACTAAATGTGGCAGGCACCAACCAAAGATCTCCCTGGGATTTTATGGAATTTTCTATGGTATGAGTTAGACATAGTTTAAGCTATTTAGTTTCCACTATTTTCTTTACAAATTAAAAGTAAGAGAATACTATTATAGGACAATAACAAAAAAAGCAATGTTATTTTCCAGGCATAATCATATATGATTGAATATAGATGTGTAACCTTTTAATTTTGACGATTAGCTTTTCTGGAAAAAGGATGTATACAATTCTAACCACTAAGAGTTTCTGATCAGCTCTAGTATTTCATACACGGCTAGGTTAAACATGACAGTACACCAAGATTGACTATATAGCCAATCAGACGTTACATGCATCATAGTGTATATATATTAAAGATACAACCGCTCGCTTTTTGCAAGTGACGCCCAACGAGCTTGAATTAAGTTCTGCAGGGGGTGGGTATGAATCGGAATCTGGTAATTTAGAGGTGTTCATAAGCTGTCCGAAATCGATGATTCAAATCGTTCTGCTCCGCAACTATCTGGACCTTCGGTGTCCAAATTTCTGGAAAGAAAAATAGTCAATTAGATATCTATTTGATCCGTACGAAGAAATTAAGAAAAAAAATAAATCAAATTAATATCCAAAGATAATATAAAATAGCATTTTATTGCAAAAAACTAAAATTATTTATTTTATAAAACTCTATAAAATAATCAATTTAATAATATATTATGAAACTTACATAAAATATATAATTATATAATTAATATAATTATTTATATGTATATATATGCATATAACATATAAAACGTTTATTTTTAAAAATATTAATATTTATTATTTGCTTCATAGAATTACAGATATCTAATTTTTTTGGTTGAAATGAAAATGGATAACAAATCAAATTTTATGGATATATAGTTTACCAAGTCTTAGGTTTTGGTGTGAGACGAAACTTCCGACATAGCAGCGGAAGATACTAATATTAATTCTCCATTAAGGTATTTATTAAGTTTTTTTTCACCAAATTCTTGTAGTTATGTTACACCTATTGATTATTGAGTTTGATCAAAAGAATAAAAAATGCCACTGAGTTTAAATAATGAAATGGTTGTATCTATACAAAAAAGCCACTGAGTTCCAAATGCTTATCATATGGAAGTTGCATATGTGCGTGAGTTAAAGCGTTATCACCTTTCAAATAAATTTGTAATACTTTTCTTAAAGATTGATTTGGTCTAATCATTAATTATTTGAGTTTAGGTCTATATCGACCAATATAAACCAGTGACATGTTATATATTGTTTGTATGTATAGTCGTTAAAAGAGAGACAAGCATCTGGACAGTTTCCTGAGCTCTTGTGTCTTGTGCAAACGTGCCATTCTGGATAGTGGATATAGTAAAACAAAAGAAGTTCCATATATCATGACATCAGTTTGGTTAAAAGATTGTTACTATTTTTTAGCATTTTAATTTATCAAAGTACTAAACTAGCTAGGCAAACAAATTAAAAGGCACGTGGTCTATTGATTACTAAATCACAACAGCCAGTTCAGTTACAGGAACCCATCTCTCTCGCTCTTTGCATCCCTATTCATTTACTGAGTTCCATGACAGAAGCATCTTGGCTTGGCTCCTTCAAAAAAAAAGTCTATACTTTCTTTTGACAAAAAAAATTAATAATATTTAATCTGTTTTATTCCTTCAAAGCTCCAAGTACATATACATGATTAGGATATGTTTTTAAATCTCATTTCATATCTCCAGATCTATATACTAAATTATTTCTGATATAATATCATTCTCCGGATCAGTATCATTGGCTAACGTGGGCGACTAATTATTTTTGACGTCAAACCCTAAAATGGAAACGGAAGAAAACAAACAGATCCAGACAAATCTATAATATTAAAACAAAATATTGATGAGGTAGCTAAATGTAACATGTTTAAACGGGTGTGGGTTTCTACGAACAAAACATTTGATATATTGAATTTTTAATATGTAAAATATTCTGTACTTTTAAAGAGTTGATCACAAACTAGTATAAAATCAAATCAGATAAATCTTTTTTGAACAATATAGATAAGCTTTATTATATAAACTTTAAGATACTTTTTAATGAGACTAGACCTTTTAAATAATTTGACTAAAAAAGACCTTTTAAATAATTAGTTTATCTGCCATTATGTGTTAGTTGATGAATTTAGAGCAAGTTGGCCCTATAATTGATGGATATGCTGTGGTTTGATAGCACTATATCATCCTAATCCTTAGTTTTTTCTCCTAACAAACTTATTAACGAACCAAAGAAATCTTCAGAACGAAACCAACCCTAAAAGATTAATTTGGTCCATAGGACAGAAAATATGCATATCATTAAAGAGATGTGATATAGAGGAAACAAAAAACGGTGACTTGAATATGCAATTACAATTACCAGCATGAAGCATCATGGGTTTAATCATGTGATCATGTCTTCTGAGCATAGAAAAAATTTCACCCATTTTTGTCCTTTATTCTCTTCATTTTACTATTGTCTTCACTTTGCCTGGTTCATTACAAAAACAAGCACTTGCAACAAGATCTTAATTAAGATGGAGCTCCACAGGAGACATTGGATGGGATTGTATGCATATTATTTCTGTTATACACTTGCATCTCATTTGCTTCCTTTAACTGTAGCTCAAATCAACCAAACAAGATAGTGATCTGAATAACTTGATTTTTTTTTTTTTTTGCAAAAAAATATTTACCTTAAATGACCGTGTAACATTCTTCGACTATAAGATTATTCTATCTATGCCCTCCTTTGACCAATAATCTCTGATTTCTATAAGCTTTCTCTTAACTGGATCCTCAAAAGCGCATTGGCAGCTTGAACTATAACCTCGAATCTTTCTCTACCCTAGATCATCAAAGTTTTCAACGAACAAAACATATTTTGAATACATATACAACAACCAAACAAGCACTATTCCCATGTAAACTAGTAACAATAAAATTTGAATAAACCAAAGCACATTAATTGATCAATAATTTTTTTTTGGAATTTAAATAAAATTGGGTGAAACAGCATTGTTTATATATATATATATATATGTAAATATACTCCCTCAGTTTTTAAATAGATGACGTTTTGGAGAATTTGTTTTTGTTTCAAATTACATATCATCGTTTTTTGTTTTCAATGTAAATTTTATTAAAATTTATGCAATATGTTTTTATTGTGTAATTTTGTATATTGATTAAATATGGTTAGATTTATAGATAATAATATTTTTATTTAGAAAATGTATAAAATTAAATATTTTTTTAAACTTTGTGTCTAATCCCAACTCATCAAATAAAACATGGAAGTGTATATAGTTTAACGGGAGTATATTTTAGCAGTCTAATATTCAAAAATGCGGGACACTTTCTCAAACATTTTTTTTATCCAGTAATCATCATTTGAGTTTGTTTGAATTTTCTTCTTTCTTTTTCAGAATATTGGAGTGTTAAAAAGAAAATATTGGAGTGTTATTGTTTGTAAATTGTATTAGTTATCAAGAAAGAACACACAGTACTGGGCCACTGGCGACACATGTGGACATTTGCATGGCAAGGTCTCTCGTGTCTTGTGCAAACGTGCTATTCTGAATACAGTAAAAGAGGTGAGTTGTATTTAATCACTAAAACTGAAAACAATTTAAAGAACAATCGAAAGTGTTGAACAACCTCATTGAAATGCTAAAGCTAGGCAAAGAAAAAACACGTGGGCTAATTACATAATCAACCAATATAAAACAAAAGCCAGTTAATTTACAGCTAATCTCTCTCTTTTCCTTCATACCCATGATAGAAGCATCTTGGCTATCAATGAAGATATCATATTTACTACTTTTTACATAAAATTTCAATATAATATCCGAGTACCAAACTTTTCAACGCTCCAACTACATATATACATGATTAGGGTATGATTTTAAATCTTATTTCATTTCTCAGAAACATCGATCTTGAAGTCAAACCCTAACATGTAAACGAAATAGAACAAACAGATACAGACAAATGGGTAATAGAATCAAACAGAGAACCTTATTTGCATATGTCATGCAATAACCCTTTAATGGGACTTGATTCTTTTATTTATAATTTTTTCCACGGCCACAACATGTTGGTTGATGAATTTGAAGCAAATTAACAAAAGAATTGATGGATTTGATCTGGATTTGATCCATTGTTTCATCCTGATCCTAATTTGTTTAACCATACAAACATGAAAATGGCCTCTAATCAGCCGCTAATGCATCACTTTAAATTTAACCCCTATAACTAACAGAGAAGAAAATGGGATATCAGTTCATGAACCGTGACATGGAGTAA